GAAAGTCCTGACAGGTGGACTGTAGACTGGCTGGCTGTGCGCTAGATCGCCACGACGGACTGCGGGATCCGGGCAAGCCACATCGAGGCTAAGTTGGCGAGGTAACGATCGCAGTGGTGGGTGGTGACACGCGACAGCCAGGATCGTCGGTGCATGAATGAGGATGAGAGATCCGAGTTGAGTGGATGACTGACCCGGGGCCTTGTTGCGAATCCATTCGTTGGTGTGAGCTCACGGCAGTAAAGCCGGACCTTCTTTGCATTTCACGATCTCAGTGTAACTCGTCCTTCCTTGCTTGATATTCTCACCTGTCTCTTCCTCCCTCCATCCCTTCTCTCGCTGATATGAATAACTATGCATGATGAATCAATTTTTTGCTTGTGATGGAATGAGCACTTGTGAATGCGTGCTCGGAAGAACTTCTTCCGGAACTCTTCCATTAGTTTCCTGGGTAATCCCCGAACCTACTGCGATTTGATCGTCTTGTCTTGTGAACGGTGGATGTGCGTGTAGCGACCCTCAACGATTTAAAGGGATTGCGATTACTTGCCCTTGACAGGACAGGACAGGGGTATTGCATGTCTGTCATTTTCGCAGCTTCCACAGTGAATGCATGCATATGGGATGAAAATGATCGAGCAAGGAACTCGTCTTGATTAGGATACTGTCCGGACGGATCGACGACTGGGGCAATGTTGTTGGGATTTTGTTCAAAAATGCAAGAGTGTTTAGATCTGTTGACGTTGTGATTACGGCAGAGTACCCCGGGAGCTGCCGTTCGGGATGCACTCCACAAACCATCTGCCTTATGTTGCACAACATATGCAAGCCTACCCTCGAAGAATAATGAGGGACTCCAAAGCCACGTGCGATCGGAACACGTGAACAGTGGTCGCGTCTCACCACACATGAGTTTTTGTCTCTCTCTCTGAATTTTCCTTTCCTTCTTCGTTTTTAAGAGTTTTGATTATGTCTCTCTGGTTGGTTGTGTGTGTTATGACTAGTATCGATTCTGGGCCTACGATAAATGATTGAGAATATCTTTGGCGCCTTATTGACTGCAATGTGGACTGACGAGATCAACTCGACTAGGCGCCGGCCTCCCGTATCCCCACCTCGCCCCTTCCCGTATAGCGAGGAAAGGACGCGTGTGTGTGAGTGGGACGTATGAGAAGTCGTCGCAAAGATCGGTGGGCAATATTACTTCCGTCCTGAAAATCGGTGTTCTGGGTTTGTCGGTGCCGGGTTTGTCATTATCGATATGCATTCTCCGCCATATTCGTTTCTATTCCTGTTTAACGAGTATATCAACATCCCGTGGTCGGCGGTGGCGCCCCATTGGCGTAAAAATGTGTGTAGTGATTGCCAACGCTTCGACCATTACCAATCAAAGGGCTTCCACTACCGAGTACGGAATGAGGACGAGCATAAGAAAAGGGCCACGCGATTAAGGCCGTCTACGTCAGATTCGGAATTGTGCAACGTGCGGCGTCGGGAGTTAGTCCGAAAACGGGATACTAAGTACGTGCCCGCCCCCTTTCACTCCAAACGAAGAATCGTGGCTCGGTGGGAGGTTCGACAACATTTTCTGGATTGAATTCAAACTTCTCCTCATCGTGAATCACGCGCGCGCACTTCTTCGTAACCCGCGTTGCAACCGACGAGTCCTCTTACTTCATCAGACCAACACGGGGGATTTCAATTCTGTATGTGTCCCCACTCTGAATTTCCCAAAAATCCTTGGCACACCCCATCTTGTTGTTTTTCAGGGCCTTTTTCCGCACCCTTAACACTCCGAGCGGAAAACAGCAGAGGGCGTGAGGTTGGTATCGGAGCTGACACGTGTCGGTTCTGACGATAGTAAGACGAGCTGTCGAGAAGAAAATCAGCTAAACAATCTAATCGCCTCAGTCTTCCTGTCACTCGGCAGAGGTCCGTCGAGGCTTGGATAGAGATGCCCATGGCCGATGCTAATGGAACACCTTCCCGGGTGATGGTAAGCATCCCCGCTACCTTTTCATTCTATCCCAACTACACTCATCCGGAGGCATGGCTTGAAGCAGTGCAAGCGCAGGGTTATATCGTCGAGGATCTTCCCCGCTTCATCACCCTATTACTCCGAAATACTGCGCACGATTGGTTCAAAAGGCAGAGATGGGTGGATTGGGATACCTTGAAGAGAGCGTTCCTAGCACGATTCGACGCGGTCTGCGAAGATGCTGCATGGTTCGTATTGAAAACCCGTCCACAAGAACCAGGGGAACTATTTCACGACTTTGTGGATCGATTTCAGACCGCCTTGGACAAATCAGGATGGGAAGAAAACGCTGTCCGAGAGTTGTTCATCGATCATCTCCACAATCCCGTGTTGAAGGCGAAGTTGCAGAAAAAGGTCCCTGTCAAGACGAACCAACTGACCCTCATTATAGCTAAAGCCCTTGAGCTAGATCTATTGGACATGCGTAAGTATATTAGTTAGGGAGACGAAGACATTTCGGACACGATCGAGGATGTGGCTGCTAAGCGGCGGTCATGGCTAAGAGCGGTGGGACGATTTTACCCTCGTCCTGATCACGATTATCAAGACGGCCCCGCCCCGGATCCCTCCCCGTATCACTCCCTACCTCTCACGAAACCTCCTCTTCCTCCCAAAGTCACAGTAGCGCCTGTAAACACAGTCATGACCCAAGACGCCACAACGGTACCTATCACCAACATGCATCTGGTCCAGATGATTTATACCGCTACGACTTAACAGTCTGAGTGGATGGGTGATCTGCTTCAGATGCAGGCTTCCCAGATGGATCGACTGAAACAGATCATGACGAAACTAGTGAAGGCTAATTCCAACCCTTCTCGCCCTGTTCCCTCTCAATATGCGCTGCTAACCGCCCCTCCCTCAGGGGGACCAGGTCCTCCTGCCGCTCCCCTTGATATGGCTAATCCAGCACGAAGGATCGAATGCTAGAACTGTAAACAACCGGGACACTTCGCACGAGAATGCCCTCAACTGAAACGTAATCAGCCTCCCCATGCAGCCGCGCCCGTGGCCTTGAATCAAGGTCGCGTGGCCGCAGTATTAGAACACACAAGGGAAGCTTCGCCCTGGAGAGCCTCGGACTTTCGAAAATGGTGATTTCAGGAAAGGGGTTTCAGGACAGGGATTTTGATCTGGCCCTTTCTGTGCCTATATATTTCCCACTGCTACCTTCCGGGCTGAATTGTGAGGTCCCCGGCCTCTGTCTTTTGAGCTTTAATGAGAAGCCCTATGAGGGCCCCTTTTGATGCAAAAAAAAATAAAAAATAAAAAATAAAAAAAATAAATGGTGGTTTCTACAGTGGTGTGGCCAGCCCCTTCAACGGATACAGTGCAGCACCCTAGATGTAAAAGCGGGCTACAACATTCTAAGGGCCTTGCCACACCACTCAAGACAAGGTATGTGAAAAAGACAAGACTGGCAGGTGCATCTGGCCTTGTTCTTGCAGGATGTTCATTCTCATTTTGTGCATTTCAAGATTGGTGTGGCTATGCCCTTAGGACCTTTACGACCTTCTAAGGGCCTCTCCACACTACTGTCCCAAAGGAAAAATTACAAGTGCATCTTCCTGCAGAGAACGGCAGGATGCATAAGTTACTAAGAATAGCAAGGGATGTAGCGAGGCCCTAAATGAATCTGGACCAGATCAGTCCGGAGGTAATTTGTTCGGTTCAGAGACAGTCCAGATACAGAATGTTGGTGACTGGCTACGTCCTTACCGTACGAAGGCGCGTTTCAGGCCAACTTGGTCTGAAGCGATCAGGGTGACGACGTTGAATCGGGTCTTGCGTTCGGGTCCTTCAAAAAAGAAAGCGGTCCAGAAGTATCTGACAGCAAATGCCCCCAGTTCCATGTGGAAGCGCTACCCGAACTGTGGGGTCCAGTTCAGAATGTGGGTCGTCGCCAGTCATTCGGCAAGCCCAGGGGCGTCAGAGGCCCGCTGGAGGCTGGCGAATCGAGTTTTGGGGGTAGTACTCACCCCACTCTCCTGCGAAACGTTTTTCATTTCTTTTCTTCTTCTTTTTTTTTTTTTTTTTTTTACACGTTTTTTTTCTTTTTTTCTTTTTCTTTTTTGGAGAACCTTAAACTTTTCATTACATCATAACCGAAGGGTACAGGGCCGGGAAACCCCACAACAATCCCGAGATGTACTGGGGCCATTACCCAGCTTAGGCTCCTGGAAAACGGGTCCAGTGTCCCTTCATAATGACAGTTCCCCAAAATAGAAAAAAAAGGGGATGTTACCCAGAGAACGCCAATACCCCCAGCAATTCCCATCCGAACCAAGTTTTTCGCGTCTGAGAAGTACAGTGGGACCTACCGGGGACAAGTACAGTGGGACCTACCGTGGGCAAGGTCCCACTTGCACGGATTAGGAGATTTCAGCCGTTGATCTTGGCTATCTACGGTCTTTATCTCTTAATTCGTGGAAGTGGGACCTAGCCGCGGGTCTGCGTATTCCCGCCACCGTCGGCGGTCAACAATGAAGAACAAACGCCAGTGGGACCTACGTTAGCCCCAGGAAAACGCGGCGCGGGGATGGATTTGAAGAGTTCGGGAAAGGAAAAAAAAAAAAAAGAGTTCGGGGAAAACGCGGATTCAGTAAAAACGCGGGTTTTCCAGCAGTGGCGCAGGTTGGTTCTCTCACCACCACGAGACCGAAGGGCACTTAAAAAAAACAAAAAAAAACAAAAAACGCGGCGGTCAGGAGGAGGCCATTTCTGTCCTGATACCCGCAACGACTGAACAGAAGCCGGGTAGAGGGAGGCGAAGTATCCCTGTGGACTACTCACCACATGCACAACGGACAGCAGCGGGAAGAAATTTAGTGAGAACCCCAGAGTCTAGTATCACATAAATACACGATGAAGAAATGGATGACATCAAGGTGATCGTGAACACACAGGCCTTTGTCTTGTGTGAGGGCTTAACCGTAGAGGAGTTTTGTCCCACCGAGACAGTAGGGACTTGCGAGTGGAAGCGATAGTGCTAGGAGCGGACTATCGGCTGCCGTTTTGCCGCTGTGAAATTTGGCTTCGGTCGAGGGTGGACGAAGGCGCGAACATATCATTAATCAACAATGGCGCGCAGGGCGTTGCTTATCGGCGCTAGCTATGGCGACAACAGCGATCTGCCTACTCTGCATGGAGCGGTCAATGATGTCTTGCAGGCGAAGATAGCGCTCACGACGGTGTATGGATTTGCAGAGGCTGACGTATGCGTGCTGGCCGATGGAGAAGTGGATGCGAGCTGCGTTAAGGCTTGCACAACGCCGCCCACGAAAGCTTGCATCCTGGCGGCGCTTGATTGGTTGGTCAAGGGTGCGTGCGCAGGTGATGTGCTGTTCTTCCACTTTTCTGGATATGGTACGCGTGTTCCCTCGGCATCGTCGTGCGACTCTCTCGAGGAGGCTCTCCTTCCATCCGACGCTACGGTGTCCGATGTGTGTGGTTTCGGGAACGTTGTCGAGCAGAGTGTTTTCAGTGCCAAATTCGCCGGCATTCCCAAGGGCGTGACGGTCGTTCACGTGTTCGACACAGCCTTCAAAGGTGCCGCGAAGTGCGCCCTCGCCGGTGAGTATTAACAAGCCAACTCTCATGCAATCTCTTGTCTGTCGCTTCTGCGCTCATTGTCATCTTCATTTCCTCGCTCTCTCTTTCTCTATCCTACCTCTCTCTTCCTCTCTGTGTAGGCATTGTTAGTTGCATTTGCTAGACGCGCTCGTTGCTTGCTCTCTCCCC